ATGGCACTTGACCTCTGTCAAAAAGCACAAATTGACCCCCAAACAGAATGTGGTATACAAGAGGTGAAACAATTACAAAACTCCCTACCCGAATACAGAATTGTGCTTTTCTCTGATCAATATGGTAATGACATTGTGTTTCACGGTCCTGAATCAGCACCTTCACACCCTAGAAAAAACATTTATCTCTTACTACATGAAGCACACTTTTATGCGATACTGTCTCCTGCTGCAGTGTTTGCTTTCGCCTATTTCTGTGACAAGTGTCTTGTGGGTTATTCAAGTAAAAATGATCATGCATGCAAGGGGTTTTGTTGGCGTTGTGGTTCTTCAGAAAATCACAACGCTGAAAAGCACACACTTAAACAGTGTAAAGACTGCTGCCGTTTTTTCTCAGGAGATGTCTGTTTCAACTTCCACAAGAGTGAGAAAATTTACAGCCTGAACAGAACAACATGCGAGACGAAGAAATTCTGTCCTAAATGTCAGAAGAGCTATGATTACAAATCACGGGGAAAGGCAAAAGTGCCTGCACACGTTTGTGGTAAAATCAAGTGTACCAAGTGTAATTTGCTTGTACCAGAAAATCACTTGTGCTACATGCCTCCATGGACACCGCCTCCCCTAGCCAAGAACACAAGATTCATGCAGGTTTTTTTCGACATCGAAACGACGGTTACATCACTGGACGGTAGAGATAACTGGCTGGAGCATAAGCCCAATGTTCTCGTTGCACAGCAAGTGTGCACCGAGTGTGAGCACGTGAAAGATCTGGAGCATCAGTGCCTAAACTGTGGGGAAAGAGAACATATTTTTGACGATTTAGAAGAAACACCAGGTGAAAATGTTGTAAGTCAGTTTATGACATATCTGCTTTCACTCTGTTCTGAAGAGAAAACTCACATCCAATGTTTCTCTCATAATGGTCGAGCTTTCGATACAATTTTTATTCTCCAAGAGTGTGTCAAGAGAAAAATGAAACCAGAAATTATTCTGCAGGGTACGAAGATCATCTGCCTGAAGTGTGAAAACCTAATATTTAAAGACAGCCTTCTCTTTATGAATCAGAAACTGGCCCTGTTACCACGCTCTTTCGCTCTCACAGAACACAAAAAAGGATATTTTCCTTTTAAAATGAATCAAAGGAAGTGGTTTTCGTACATAGGACCCATGCCTGATAAAGAATTATACTTTACATCGGGTATGAAATCAGAGGAGAAAGAAGAGTTTGACAAGTGGTACAATAAGCAAGTAGAAAACAACTACATTTTCAATTTCAAATATGAGATTTTAGCTTACTGCAGTTCAGACACCGATATACTCCGCCGAAGTCTGCAGGCCTACAAGGAATCTTTTATGGAAATTGCTGGATTTGATCCGCTGCATCACTGTCTCACACTCTCCTCTGCATGCATGGCTATGTACCGATACAAACATTTACAGCCTTACACAATCGGTCTCATGCCAAAAGGGGGTTATAGAATGGCTGAACTTCAAAGTAAAATAGCGTTGAAATGGCTCAGTTATGAACAGAGTGTTCTGGGTGACACTGCAAAAATTCGAACGTCAGAAAACGGGCGTGAAGTAAGAGTCATGGGCAAACCTGTTGACGGATACACAGAACTACTAAAAGTTGATGGAACGACAGAAAAAATAATTTTTCAGTTCCACGGATGCTACTTTCACATGTGTCCAACATGTTATCCAGACGTCGCTACGCGACGAAGTTTAATGCAAAAGCAGGGTGGTGATAAGTATGACAAAACAATGAGGATCACTGATATTTTTAAAAGAAACAACTATACGGTGCGTGAAATGTGGGAATGCCACTTCAGACATGAGTGTGAACACGACCCCAAAATGAGAGAGTACTTTGAAACAAATCCACCGAAAGAAACTCCTGTTCTTAATCTAAGAGACACTTTGTGTGGCGGACGTACCTCTGCACTGCGCACGTACAAGGAGGCAAATATCTTAAAAGGAGAACGCATCAAGCTGCTCGATGTCTGCTCTGAATATCCTTTTGTCAACTTTAAATGCGCCTATGTGACTGGGCATCCAACGGTATACCTTGAAAATGACAACGCCATGCCCCCCATTGACCAGTGGAACGGTGCTGCACTTGTCCAAATTTTACCTCCGAAAAATTTGTTCTTGCCAGTTTTGGGGATCAAGTGTTGTTCGAAGTTAATTTTCCCGCTATGCCGTACATGTGCAGAGTCTCAAAATCAGGGGAAATGCTCTCACGAAGACCCCCATGACAGAATGTTGACTGGCTCCTGGTGCACGATAGAGTTGCAGTTGGCTGTGGAAAAAGGATACAAAATATTAAAAGTGTATGAATTGCTTCAGTACCCTGGTACAAGGGTTTACGATCCCGTCACAAAAACAGAAGGCCTGTTTTCTTCATATGTAAGAGAAAATATGGCTCTAAAGTATGAAGCGTCAGGCTGGCCTTCACATGTCATTACCGAAGAAGAAAAAGATAAATTCATACAAGAAATATTTGAGAGAGATGGTATTGTCATAAGAAAGGACAAAGTAGAAAAAAATCCCGGGAAGAGGTTTATAGCGAAGCTTGTCCTGAACTCATTCTGTAAGTATCCATTCTATTTAGATTAAAAAAAAAAAGAAAAGTGATTTCTGACAAAAGCACTGACCTTTTCTTATTTTTCAGGGGGTAAAATGGGAGAGAGAACACTGCGTCCCATGACTGAATTAGTCTGCGACTACGGTCATCTCATCCGTTTGACACAAAACAGTGGAATTACGATCAACTCCATTCTTCCACTGAGCGAAGGCTGTCTTCAAGTCAGTTATACTCCCAAACAAGCAATGGATGATTGTCTCAAAACAACTTCACTGATACATGCCGCCCAGACAACGGCCCACGGACGTCTGCTTCTGTACAAATATTTAGACATTGTTGGGGAGAGAGCACTTTATCATGACACAGGTAAGTTACATTGTGCGTAAAAATTAAATGTGCATTTTCTTAGGCATGCAATACTAACCTCACTTTTGACATTTTCAGACTCTGTGTGTTTCCTATCGGTCCCAGGACAGCCCGAACCTGAGATCGGCCAATATCTGGGTGATATGACGGATCAATTAGCTGACGAGTTCGGAGACGGTTCCTACATCCAGGAATTTATTTCTGCGGGTTGCAAAAACTATGGCATGTCTGTGGTAGCCCGAGGTGATCCTAAAGACATAAAGACCATCATCAAAGTAAGGGGAATCTGCATAAACACTTCATGTGACAATGTTGTCACAATTGATCGGCTGAGGGATATGGTTCTCTCAGACGAGAAAAAACTTACCACAGTAAACATACCATCACAAATCGCACGCATTCCTGGCTGGAGGATAGTGACGCGAGACGCAACAAAGACGTGGCGAGTATGCTTAACAAAGCGACGCCGAATATCTGGAGGGAGAACTGTTCCTTACGGGTACCAGGGCACGCTACTTGACGACGAGGACTACGATCTTCTCAATATTATGGAAGCTCTCTACGACGAATAATTTTGTCTCACAAGGGCCTGCGCCGAGGCCTGTGCCCGTACAGGCGTGCTACGAGTTATCTGTATCTCTGCTGACATCGATGCGCCGGGTGCGATCCTGGACGGCGTGCTGCTCCCTAGCGCCGCAGCGCGACACTTCGTGGACACTCTGCTGACACACGACATTAGCCATGCCCGACCGATGCTGCACTCATCTCGCAATGCGGACTGCCGCTGCACTGCTACGCCGCGCCGTACGATCCCGAGCAAAATATTAAAGGACTCTCACAGATTCCAAAAAAGAAACAGAGGGACGCAAAGCGGCGTCGAGAGAAGGTAGTCGCTGTTTAAATCTAATATTTCTAGTCTGCTGTAATCTTACGTGACTTCTATGACAATATTATATTATCTAGAATGAAACAGGCATTGTACCTAGTATGTTTCGAAACAATAAAAAAGAGATCCATATTTTATCGTATTTTTATGTTACACACATCCCGAATCCTGAAAGAGCGCAACACGGTAGAGTTAACTACCCCAACGAGGTAGGCAGCCTTCCCTGTGCGCCGGCTAGGTAGGCAACCTGCCGTAGTGCGTTGGGCGCGTGGCATCATAATTTGCATTATTCGACAACGATTCACGTCTGCAGCCAGTGGCGCCCATCGTATCTGGAGACGGTGGTGACAGAGGGGACTGCTACCTACCTTTAAGGCGTACCTACCTACCTTTACGGCCAATTTTGGACGCGCAACACTAGGGTTGCCTACTTTTAGGGGCTAATTTTTGTTGTTGATTAAACGCCAACTTATTCCCTAGTTTCCCTGATTGAGGGTATGGCTAAATTGAAGCACCTAATGAAATTTACCAAATTTTCAAAATAACTACTAACTGACAGCGTGTACCGAATACATTAATTTATGCGGCACGAGCCAACGTAAGAGGAATCTGCGAGCGAAGCGAGCGAAAATTTTGTGTTTCGTGTCCCTTGCTTTGGTAAAATTTAAGATAAGTATTGTGTGCAAAAAGTTATCTATTTAAATAATAGGCAACAAAGGGTGATTAAAATTAGACTCCGTAGCAAAGAGCAACCAGCCGTAAGGTCACGAGCGGACTGATCGGGAGAAACATAGCTCCAAGTGCCATGAAATTGGAAAAGAATCACGAGCGAAGCGAGCGAAAAAATTAATATGAGGAGGCGTGCTGAACGCGACACAAAAGTTTAACTTCAAAATGGTGAAAGTAAGAGGAAAACTTTGTTCAAATTGCGAGTTGCATGCCAATGAATATGCAATGCTTTGTGGCAAGCCAAGTTGTTGAACCACCTGATGGGAAATGCATTCAGGAGTGTTGGTGCTGTTTGATTCGGCTGGGCCACAGCTCCGAGCCCCGAGCCGCGGGGCCCGGGGCCGGGGCCAGACTGTTCTTATAACCATTATGAATACCTCCCTTTCCTCGTATTTTCTTTCCTTCTCTTCTCTCTTTTCCTTTCCTCTCTTTCCCTTACTCTTTTCCCTTTCTCTTCCTTCCCCTCCCTCACCTACCTTCTACTTGCCCTACCTACCTACCTTAGCTGATAGACGGTGGTGACTCGTCACCACCGTAACCCTACGATGGGCGCCACTGTCTGCAGCCCACCGAGCGCGGCAGGCATCGTGTTCTGGAGAATGACACAAAGCCCGAGCGCAAGTCTCGTGTGTAGCGCACGGTAGCCGCGGTCGCAGAGGTGACAGACGTAGAACTGTAGAGGTCTGCAGTCACAGGTTCGAGCCCAGGCCACGGCGCTGCATTTTGCATGACGTCACACCACCCCCCACCCTACCCGTACCCCACCCCTCGATAGGGATCCCCCACCATTCAACAAAGCTGGGGGCCCGCTACCCGTCGCGCGCGCCTCCTAGCGCCTGGGAGGTAGGCAAGGGCTACCCGGTCCCAGTATAACTACTCCCTGGCTCTCGCTTCACTAAATGTGACACATTTAAATTTTGTGAGGGGTGCAAAAAAAGCTACAAAGTAGGGAAAAATGCCCACCTTTGCAATGGGGTGTATTGCAAGTATTGCAAGGAGAACGTGAAGGAGGGGCACCTGTGCTACATGCAGCCGTGGAGAGAAAAAGAAAGGAAGAGGGGATGGAAATATATTTCTATCTTCTGGGACAGTAAGACCGTTCAGGAGAAGGCGGTGCCAGGGCTCACAAACACTTACGAGCACGTACCCAACTTGTTGGTTTCACAGGCGGTATAAGACCCCGGGTGGAAGGATCTTCACTTAGACTATAGTTTAATCTGTAGTGTTGAATCTGAAGACATCAAACTCCATTTAAACTGTAGAAAAAAGTCGGTAATTTCTGTAGTTTATTCACGACTGCAGTATTGGGCTTTTGTAAACAGTTAGTCTGCAGTCAGACTGCACTTTTTATGTTGTTACATACTAAAGTTCCAATTTGCACTTGCGAGTTTAGTTAAAAGACATTATACAAACAAGTA